ACAGGAGCCTGCCACAACGCCTGGCTATTTTTTTTGGTTGCAGCCATCATTGTTGTTTGGCTGGCCGGGCTGGATTTGAACCTACCACCTTAGGTGTATGTGGCTGGCGTCTTAGCTACTTGAGCCACATGTGCCCAGCCGTGCTTGGAGTTTTATGCTCTGCAGTCACCTTCAAGTTCTTAATCATTTTATGAGTCTCACTTTGTCGCTCACAGCAACCTCAAACACTTGGGCTTAAGCTATTCTCTTGCCTCAGCCTCCCAAGTAGCTGGCACTATAGGCGCTGGCCACAACACCTGGCTATTTTTTCGTTGTAGTTGTCATTGTTGTTTGGCAGGCCCAGGCGGGATAGGAACCCGCCAGCTCTGGTGTATGTGGCTGGCATCCTCTCTGCTGAGCTACAGGCACCAAGCCTGTTTTATCTTTCAATTCATGTTGGTAAATCAAGTCTGATGGGAGGTGTGTGCCATGGGCTTGGAGCATAGGCTCCCAGGAGGTCCAGCCTCCTGCCTTCCGGGCACATGTTCTCAGGCACCAGTTTCCTACCCTCATACCACAACCTGCTACCCTCTCCTGCTGGTGGTAGATACAGGTGAAGGGAGGTCACACCCCATGCGCCTTTGAGTTAGGTCATTGGTATCCCCATGGGTAGAGGGGGGCTGGGCTAGAGAGGAAACTTCACTCCTTGCCCCACAGCTTTGCTCACCTCAGGCTGTCCTTGCACACTGCAGAGAGACTGCAAATCCCTGGGGGTCTGGCTGTTGTGAGCATGGCCTCCTGCCTGCTAGAGCCAACCAATCATGACAGTTAGACCTTCGTTCCTGGAGCCACTCACCACACAAACCCAAAGCACTTTGTAGGCATCACCTGCAGGAGATACCATTATTCTGCTCCCCATTTCACAGATGGCATAACCAAGTCTCAGGGAGATTAACCCGCCCAAGTTCAGCCAGGCACTGGGAGAGTTGGATTTAAATTCCGTTCTCCTTGCTCCAATGCCAAAACTCGAACTCAGACATTAATTTGACTTGGGAGTTAGTTATAGTGAGGGCCCTGGGAGTGATGCTGGCTCCTTGGCCAGGTGGGCCTAGGGCAGGCTCTCTGCCATGGCCAGCTCGGGGCCCAGACTGGCTCTTCCCGTGGCCCAGTTCCACCAGCAGGGAAATCAGGTCTGAGTCATCTGAGAGGGAGATGGGAGTCCCTGTCCCTGGCTCCCAGCGAAACTCCACCAACTTCTTAGCTTGCCCCACCCTCTTCCCTGAAATAAATCAAAGAAGTTTTAAGCTGGGAAGGAAGTCACCTAATCCAAACTCTTCAGTTTGCAAATAGAGGGCTTGGGGTTCCAACAGGGGTCCCCAGGGATTAGAAAATGCCTGGGCTTGCCTCCTGGGAGGAATTCTGTCTCTGCTGCCAAATTCCTGCAAGCCCTGGGCCAGTTAATCTCTCTGAGTTGGAACATTCATTCTCCTAAATGGAGCTGTTCATAGTAGTATTTTGCCCAAAGAATGTCTGAGAGCGGGAAATACAGGAGTGTTGTGGTGAGAGCGGTGAGAGCACCCATCGAATGAATGCTCCTGACTGTGTGGGCCACCTCATTGTCGTCTGGACAAATCTTCCAGAGAGGCACTATTAGAATCCCCACTTCACTGAGCATTAACAGAAGCTCAGAGAGGTTAAGTAATCTATCTACCAGACTACAGAGCAGAGCCATTGCCTTCCCCACAGGGGGCCAGCCCCAGAGGAGCAGCCAGCTTGGCCCGTGCCTGCCGCCTGCCCCGGGGCTCCCAGAGTCCCAGGCTGCAGCCATCCAGCACTGGGGAGCCAGTGGAGCTGAGAGGAGCAAGGAAGCCGACCCCCTCCAGATAAACAAAGCACTTCCTCCCCAAAGCCCGAGCCCAGAAGGAGGAGGCGCTGCACACACCACTGTTTATAGAGACAGATGTTTGGGACGGAAAAAGAGAGACAGCCCTCCTCCATCCCCATGGAGACAGAGGAAGTTTGCAACTTGGGCAGCAGCAACTGGAATTGAAAAAGGAGAAGGGGAAGAAGGGAGGGAGCCAGGTCTGACCCACAGAAAACAGCGTGACATTCTCAGACGCTGGTGCCTAACAAAGGGGCGTTGCCGAGGCAACCGGGCCTGCCGGCACAGGGCTGCCAGTCCCAACTGGACCTGGGGCCAAAGCCGGGGAGGTGGCAAGGAGATAAGTAAGTACACGTGGGAGGGCAGTAAATACCGTGAAGAGCAAATAAATAAGCAAATGCACACCGGGGCCTCTCAGCCTGGCTTCCCCCCAAAGTCTGGGTTATTCCTGGCCCTTCTCCTCCTCTCCCCATCCCATCCTCCCCTAACCCTTCCTCTTCATTTCCTCCTTTCCCCTCTCTTTGTGCCCTTCCATCCATCCTCCCTCTCTCCCTTTCTCTCTTCCCTCCCTGTCTTCTTTGCTTCTCAATGTCCAATAGTCACCTCTACCCCCAGCCTAGGAAATGGGTCCCCGTCCTGCTGTTAACAGTTGGCAGATAGCTCTGAGCATGACCAGTACCACAGGGCTGCTTCTGGTAGCAGAGTGAGGCCCCTAGGAGGGACCCAGCAAGTTCCCATTCACTGTCTGGCTGCAGACAAGGGACGGGAGAAAGGGAGGGCTCTGGGCTGTCTCTGGTCCTTGTTATTCCTCTGCTCACTCCCCCAGTGACCAGCTGGACACTGGCCCCTCAAGCCCCTGAATGAGAGCTGATGGCCTCTGATGTTGGTGACATCGTCACCCGAGGCTGTGATGTCCACTGTGGGATCATGCTGCCCTGGAACTTCCCTTGTCCCCCTCACCAGAACCCTGAGCTCCTATAGCTCAGGGAGATGAGCTGCTGTCCCTCCTGCCTCCCTCCAGGGGATGGGGAAGGGGGAGACTTCTGATGACCTCTGGCCGGGTGATGGGAATCCCTGAAGCCAGGATGTTCTGTGGGAAAGAGCTAGAGGGAGTGATGGGCTGAGTGACCACACTGGTCCTGGGGTCACTGCCTCTAGGTCAAAGGAGGGGTCTATCCCACACCCCCAGCCTCAGAAATCTCCCAAGAGGCCCCATGGTGGGAAGGCAGACCACAGCGGGACCATGGGACCATGTTCATCTACCCCCCAGGAGTGTGCCTCAACTTCCAGGCTGAGGCTGGGAGCAGGGAGGTGTCGGGAGTCATCTCCCCTGACTTGGGGAGATAGAAACACTTGGTAGAGAAAGAGGGGTTGGCAGCTGAGTGGAGCAGGGCTGAGGGAGGGCACAGGGGACCAGTGGGCAGCTGGAGGCAGGGGGCTTGGAAGGAACGCCCGGGAGGGCTGGGCTGCTGACTACAGACCCAGGGGGCAGGTTCACTGTCTCTCACCCTGGGGCTGGGATTGCTGAGAAGGCAGGACTCCAAAGACCAGGCGTCCTAACTCAGCCCTAGAAATGACTCACAAAACACACCACTCCACAGAGGCCAATGGGAACAGCCATCAGCTCCCAAGCAAGCCTCCCACCAAGGATAGAAGACAGGCGGGGCTCCCCTGACCCCTGGCGACCCCTGGAGCAGCTGATTCCCCTAACCTCATCTCAACAGAGGCCTTGCTGCCCAGAAGCCCAGGAAACAGCATGCAGCTCAACTCTTGCCTCTGCCTCAGCTTGCTGGGTAACATTGGGTAGGTTACTTAAACTCTCTGGTCCACAGTGAACCCTGTCTACAAAATGGGGATCATAGTTATGCTTTACTCAGGTGTTGTGAAGAGCAAAAAAGACAGTGTATGTGAAGGAAGCATAATATACAGTGACTAAGCGTGACTGTGTGGGGAAGAGGTTACCGGCACCTGCGTGGGCGTCCTGGCCAGGTGCTCACCTGGTTGGAGGAGTTTACTAGCACAGGGGTCAGCCAACCCCTACCCACAGGCTAAACCCAGCCGGCTGCCTGTTTTGTTTTTGTACTTCTTATGAACAAAGAATGATTTTTACATTTTCAAATGGTTGGAAAACAAATCCAAAGGAAAAGAATATTTCATAATGTGCAGCTTATATGAAATTCAAGTTTCAGTGTCCATAAGTAGTGGTATTGGAACCAGCCACGCAGCTGCCTTCTCACTAAGCAGAGACTAAAATATTTATTACCTGGCCCTTTTCAGAAAAAGTTTGCTGCCCCTCTGGCCTCAAGGAAGCGCATACAGAGGCCAGTGGGCAAGAGACAATGGAACTTCCTGGGCATCGGCCAAAGCCCACCATAGTGGGAGCAGAGGGCTGGAGAAGGGGTGTGTTTGTTCGGAGTGAGCAGGGGGCAGGCTGCGGCAGCCACCTTGTCTTGATACCAGGGAGGGTCCTTGTGATTCCCACCCAGGAGAGGACAGAGGTCAAGAGTGGGTGGGCTCTGTCTAGTTGCCACCAGCCAGGTGCCACCTTGCGTAAGCCTCCCAGGCAAAAGTAGAGGATCGGAGGGCAGAGGAAGGAGCAAGTTTTCCCACTCCCCTAACCTGCTCTGGAAGCCAGGAGCACAGGCAGGGCAGGGGAGGTTTGGAGAGCAGCACATTTCTGCTCTGTCCAGTGACACTGGATGAATTCCCTCTTCTCTTCTATGGGGCTGACCATCCCTTCCTTCCCCCAAGAAGCCAAGACAGGCCTGGGGGCTGAGGAGTAGGGGTTTAGAGATGGGAGGATGAAAAGGTTACTAGGGGCTGCTATCCCTGGGGTTCTCCCTCCACCTTTGTTCTGCCCTGTGACATAGCAGATCCAGGGCAGCCCCCGGGGGAGCCTGGAGCGGGCCCACATCTAGCCAAGGGTCACTGAGGTCACAGCTGGGCCCCACATGGTCTGCTGGGAGTGGGAGGAGCTGCCGCCAAGTAGGATGAGGAGCCAGAGAGCTTTCAGGGGACACCTGGGTATTTACAGGATGGAAATCGGTATACACAGCTGTCCCAACATGTTGGGGATTAGGGGGCTGTCCACTGGTCGGTGGTCAGGTTGGGGTGCTTTTCAAGACTGGAAAGGAGACATGGACTCTGCGGGATGGTTCTCCCCCAGGAACCTGCACACTGAGGGCTGGGGCTGCTTCCCATTCTTCTCTGAGGTCCCTGCGTCTGTGGGCAGTGCTCTAAGGACTGGGCCCCCCAGACCACCCCGCGGCTATCTGGGACCAATCAAAGGGTTTCTAGATCTTCAGGCACCTCCAGACTCTCCAAAGGTGGGGTGCAATTTCTGAGTGGAGGAGAAAGGGAGTGAGGCAGGGTCTCCATTCTCACACTCTCAGGCCTTTGTGGCTATTTGCTCGTGTGCTGGGTGTCCCTGTCCAGAAGATAGACAGGGAAGGCACCATGGGTGCCGGAGGCCACCTGAGCTGTCTGAGGGGTGAAGTCAGAGAATCAGGCACAGGTGCAGGTGTGACAAACAGTCCCTCCCTCCCTCAGCTGTCAGGGGACAGGCTGGAGGGCTTGCTGGAGCCTCCCGCCAGCCAGGACTGCAGGGGCTCCCCTGCCTCCCTCTGGCCTCCTAGCACCACTGCTGTAGGGTGTGGGACCTGAATCTCAGCCCCCAAGCCTTCCCTCCTCCTCCTCCCTGGCGCAGGCTGCAGAGACCTCCCCAGGTGCTGCTCCCTCCTCCCCCCACAGGCCTAAGGCTCCCTAAGGGGCTCTAGCCTCCTCCTCTGGCAGCCATGGCTAACTTGGCTCCCACACCAACCTCCCACCATCCTAGGTCTAAAATCCAGAGGGCTCAAGTCCCGGATGTGGCCTCCCTCTACATTGCCTCTACCAGCCAAGGTCCCACCCCTGCCCTCTCCCACCCCTAACTTCCTAAAGCTCCTCCCCTCAATGCCTGTAAGTCACCACCGAGATCCCAAGCCCAGCTCCACCCTGAATCTCCACCCCAACTCTCCCAGCTCTCAGAACACAAGCCCTGGCCCGGCTCTGCCAAGCCTCCACCTGGTCCAAGACACCTGTGCTCTGGTAAACACACACACACACAAACACTCATGCACGCACGCACACTCACATGTGGAAGCACGCCATATTCACACATCCTCCACACGCATGCACATGCCCATTCACATTCTCACAGATGTGACACCCACACGCCCACACTCACACACACACACTCTTGCACTGTTTGGTCAGTTTCACCCCAAGATTATAAGTTGGGGTCACCATTAGCTGCTGGAAAGTCTCTTTCCAGAGCAGCACCTCAATCCAACCCCTCAGGTCAGTTACACTTTTCTGCTCCCCAGAACTGGCAGCCAGCTAAGGCTTCACTTTCCACAGCCAAGCTTTTAAAAAAAACCCTATTGCCTATTCCTATCTGAGGATATTAGTTAATGATGGGGGAGCGGCAGGGGAGAAATCCCAGCCCACAAGGCTCAGTTTCACTGGGAAAGGGACTTTCCTTAGAAGGAACCAAGACGTCTTGTATCAGCTCTTAACGATTTGGGAAGGGAAGCTAAATAGCTCTTTACTGTAATTCGAACAACTAAATTATTCATTGAATGCTGCAGACAGAGATTGGACAGTGACCGGAGAGACAAGGGACCCCAGCCCAGCCCTGTGACCCAGGAATGTGGCTGTCTCCCCTGGCGCCTGAGGGATCTGGGAGGTGAGTGGCCCAGGAGTCTCCAGGGGAGAGGAGGGTGAGGGAGACAGATGAAAGAACCAAAGGGCCTTGGGTGCCCCAGCCCTCAGGGTCTTGTCCAGATGGGAGGGGGCCTCACTGGCTCTGGCCAGGGGGACCCCAGATGCCAGGTTCAGAGGTGCCTGGCTACCCCACACCATCTCCCTCCTGCAGCCTGGAACCTCCTCTGCTGACCCACAGGAGGCTAGGGATATGAGGGAGGGAAGGAGGGGACAAAATGAGCTTGTCTTTCGAATTCAAAACAGTCAGGTTCCACTCCCCTTCATGCTCCATCTGGCCAGGGAGGGGTTGCAGGGTGAGAAATGCTTCCCACAACTCCCTTGTCCTGCCTGACCTGCTGGGATGGAGACTGAGAGCTCAGAGTGAAGTCCTCAACTTCATTGGTTGGGGGCTCAGCTCAGCCAATCCCAGAGGACTGACTGAGGTGCAAGGCGCCAACTGTTGAGTGTCGTCCAGCTGCATCCCTTAGCCGTCCTCTCCCAAGGAGGAAAGGCCCTGGAAATACCAAGGGCATGAATGACCTCACACTTGGAGAGAGGGATGAGCGGTGTGGGCAGGTGAGGATGGAGGGCGGTGGAGGACAAGTAAAAGAGGAGATAGGCCCAGCAGCTGGAGGGTGGGCGGCGCAGACTTTGGAAAGTGCAGCCCTGGGGGCAGCACGTGCTGACTCACTCTCCTGCCTTCAATTTTCCCTGTTTCCTGGGGATTCTCATTTTATTTTCGGGAAAGCTGCCTGCTCTGTGACTAATTTGTTCTTAAACAAACCAAACCCAGGCAGTGGGGAGGTTGGGCGGGGCCTGAGTCACTCTCCGCCCAAGGGGGACCACACCTGGGGGTGGCCGCCTGGCTCTGGTCCTGGGCCTCCCCCTCACTCTCCCAAGGGCCCCTCAGCCCTGGCCTGAAGATGACTCCAACACTCCTCAGAGATCCAGCATCCGCCCCTGAGAGGGACACCCTGGGCTATAAAGGATCCCAGGCTGCCGAGTGAGCTCCTTGGTTGTTCACTGCCTAAAACAGTGCCTGGCACAGAGTCAATACTTAGTAAATGTTTGTTGACTGACTGACTGACTGACTGGCTGGCTGGCTCTTTGATTCCTCACTCTTCCCTCCCACTAACTCCTTGAACCATTCCTCTCTCACAGCCCCTCAGCTGTGTGACATGTGCTTTACTAATGACTACCCTTTACTGGAACCATAATCTATGCCGGACACCAGGATAAATGGGTTCCTTCTCTGAATCTGTATGACCATTGCAGGGCCCTGCCTGGCCCCTTGGGGTGTGTTCCTAACCACTTTGCCATTTGGGTTCACCCAGGGATGTCCATTCCTCAGCCTGTCTGTGCCCACCTGGTCCCAGAGCTGGGAGGAGGTAGGCAGCCTGCAGCCACCAGGCACTCTGCCCTGCAGGAGGGAGATGCTGCTCTCTCCATGTACAGAAGAAAAAACTGAGGCTCAGGGCACCCTGAGGTCACTGGGCCAGTGTAAGATTTGAACCCAGATCTCCAAACACTCTCCACTACCCCGGCCTGCCTTCTGCTTCCCTCCAGCTGTGGACTCTGAAGGTGGGGGAGGAACCAAGACCCAGAAGCCAGCTCATCCTTGGACTTGGAAGGGCAGGATGACACAAATGGGAAGTGAGGGTGTCTTCTCCAGCCTGGGGGGCATGGCAGGATGTGGCCACTAAACCCTGGTCTCCAAAGTGGGACATGAGCAAGATAAGTCAATGGCATGTGCAAAGAAACACGACCCCTGGGCTTCTATTTTTTATCTCATCATCTTTAAATTTCAACTTTTATGGATACATAATATATAAGCCCAGTAATAAAGTGCCTATGGTTTATAAATAAATAAATATACATGCTCTGAAACCTTTTCCTGAAACGGAAAAAACCTCCCCCATCCCACCTCCAGGGCTGTACCCAGGGCACCCTGTAGTGGGTGCCAATGAACATTTCGCGACTTGGTGGGGGGGAGGTGTCGAGAGGCTGCAGGGAGGGGGTCCTCCGGGATACCCGCCCACCCCCAGCACCTCCTCCGTGCCGCGGAGCCCACCTGCACCCTCGGCGGGGCGCGGCTTCGGGCCTGGCTCGAGTCTCCGCCTGGGCCTGGCGCGGCGCCACGTTCCACCGGGTGGCCGCGAGGATACCGGGAAGGGAGGCGGTTCGCCCTGCAGCTGCTGAATGCCCGCCTGCGGCTTCCCCGACCTCCCCGTCTCCCTCCTCCCGCCCCCGCCCCGGAGCACAGCGCAGGGAGGTCCTGGGCACCCCACGACGGGACGGGTCCCGGGGGTGGCCCGCGTCCAGGGCGACCCCGGCCCCAGCCACCGAGCCGGTCCCCGCTCGGGAGCATGTTTCCAGTAAGCGCGAGCGTGCGGAGCGCGGCAGAGTTCCCGACAGCCAGGCCGCGCGCGGGCGCGCAGAGGAGCCCGGGCCGCGCCGCTGCGGCTGTGTCTACACCGGCGATCAATGCGCGCCCGCGCCGGCCGCCCCAGGCTCCCTTCCTGCCCTGGGCAGCGGCGGAGCCCCCGGGCACCGCGTCCCCAGCCCTTGCGCCTGGGTCCTGGGCTCCTTACCCCCGCGCTTGCCGGACTGAGTCTCCAGCAGTCAGTCTATCCGAACTGTGAGGGTCATTGACCTACTGACAGACCCCCGTCAGTCGCCGCTCTTACCAGTAGACACCAAATCCTGGAATTTGGAAGTTGAACCAGCCACCCCTTCTCCCTTAACTAGAACTGCTCTCTGCCACACTCTGCACTTCTAGCTTTGCTGAGGGGAGGGAGTTCTTTCTATTTTTTTTTTTAATTTTTTTTAGGAATTCAAGTGATGAGCAGTATACACTCGGAATGAACTCCTAAAAGAAGCCAGAGCAGGGAAGCTGTAGTCCTGCAGGGATTTACTCCCCTGAGTACAAAGGCACTGGGCTCAGGGAGGCTGGCAGGGTGGGGAGAGAAGGGCTCCAGCCCCTGGCTCTGGATTTCAGAGGCCGGTGGGGGTGGGTGAGAGATGGAAGGAGGGAGAGAAGAAAGGGTTGGGGGCCTTTAGGAAAGTGCAGGAATGGTGCTCTCCCCTTTCCCTCCATGCCAGGGAAGTCTGATCTAGGGGGAGCAGATGGAGGGGCTGCTGGGCCTTCTGGACTGTCGGGTTAACTTCAATCCCAGTCTCTTTCAGGGACCTAATGCAAAAGGAGTTGGAGGGGCCCTCCTGGGCCTGGCAGTGGAGCACCAGGCTAAGGGTGTCCAGCCCACCTAGGGCTCCTCCTCCACTTCTCTGAGGACTGGGGGTGGTGGGCAGCTCTTTCTTCCCTGAGGATGAGGAAGAGCCTGGAGATCTGGGAAGAAACCCTTCAACTCCACACATGGGCTTAATAGGCCCCGCACTCTCAGTGGGTGGCAGGTGGGAGAGAGTCCAGAGTCAGCCTCAGGCAGAGGGCCTGGCCGGAGGACAGGGCCTACCACCTGGGAGTGGAGGAATCCCAGAGTCGGGCCCTGCAGAGGTTCCCTCCTGGCCCCCACACACCACCCAGAAGGGTGTGGGGGCAGCTGCCTCTCCCTGCCCTGATCCTGCCTTGGCCAGCAAGATTCTGTGAGGCGGAATCAAAGGGGCAGAATTAAGAGGAAAAGCAAGAGAGCCGTGTGTGGATAGTGCTGGAGGAGGTGGATAGGACTGGGGACAGTCTGGAGTGTTGGCATGGACAGTGAGAAGGACTGAAATCCACCGCAGGGGTCTGACAGTGACCTGAGGTTTCTGGGCAGTGTTCCCTCGTGGGGGACCCAGCTTCCAGGTCAGCCTTTCCCAGGAGCTGTCCTGCTGCCGGGTGGTGATGGAGAGTCACCCTCCTGCTCCAGCCTTCACTGCTGACTCCACCCTGCATCCATCCATTCACTCATTCCTCCCCTTTGTGGATGCTGCCACATGGAATTCTTCCACCAAAACTTCACTGAGAAAGTTGTAGATTGGCACCCAGTTGTCAGAAGCACAGAAAGATCTCGGCACACCTTGCTCAGTTCCCCTCCATGGCAATAGTTTACAAAACCATAGTACAATATTCAACCAACATGTTGACCCTGATGCAATCTGCCAACCTTATTCAGATCTCCCCAGTGTCACTCGGACCCCTTTGGGTGTGTGCTTACTTTATATCACCCTGCCACCCATGTGCCCACTGGCACAGTCAAGGTGCTGAGTGGTTCTAACACACAGGCTCCCTGGAGTTGAGGCACACTTTTATAAGCATGCCCACCCCTCTCTGGCACCCCCATCTCCATCCTCCTCCAGCTCCCCAGCTCTGCTAGCTTGCAGTTGGTTAGTGCCTCAGGCACCAGGCACCCTGCAGGGGCAGCAGCCCTACTGCTGACACCACCCATCCCAGGCTCAGGACCTGTCCTGCAGCATGTAGAGACTGGGTTACTGGGGGCAGGGGTGGAACACAGGGAATATGGACAGTGGAAGGGGAAGTTACAAATATTAACTATGGCAGAGTTAAGGACCACCACACACTTTTCCTCCTTTATTACCGTTCATCTTTGTTTATGTGAACTAATTTCCTTTTCTCCCTCTCTCTTCCTTATTATTCTACACACAGTAAATGACCCAGGGCCACCACATAATGCTGTGCAGGTTTGCAAAACTCCAGCAGGGCAGGGGGGAGGAAGTTTGTGATACTAGTAATCTTTATGCCTCCAGGGGACCTGCAGGCCTTGGAGATGGGTGATTTTTTTTTTTTTTTTTTTTTTGAGACAGAGTCTCATTTTGTCACTCTTGGTAGAGAGCTGCGTCATCATAGCTCATAGCAACTTCAAACTCTTGGGCTCAAGCAATTCTCTTGCCTCAGCCTCCCGAGTAGCTGGGACTACAGGTGCCCGCCACCCACCAGGCT